ACCTAGCTCTACTGTTCTGACGTTGAGAAATTTTATTTAAAGTTCAACTTTTCTGAGTGTTCTAAAAACCTTGACTTTAGTTTGATTGTCCTGCCAGGTACTTTTGCCTCATTGGTTGATCTTGACATGACAGGAATCAGTATTTATTTGTATTTAGCCTTTGGAGGGGAGGGAAAGCATCTTTTAATGCATCTTTGTAAAAGTTTTCTACTTATACTGGGAAATTTTAGTAGAGTGGAAAAATTCAGAAAATGGGATACTTTTTTTAAGAAACATGATAGCGCTTTCGGGGAGTAGATTAAATGATGGAGGAATAAACAGAGAAAAGATGGGAATTTACTGTATTGATAGGGCATTGTCCCTTTTCTTCCTCTTGAAGTTTTCAGTAAGAGATATTCTGTGTTATTGTGGGCTTATTTTCCTTTTCGGCTGTTCTCCATCCGCTTGCTAAGCGGGATGTGAAAGTGTTGTGAAGACAGACCAAGTATAAAGCTGAGAAAATGTGGAAGTAAAAAAGTGCACATGCACCAAAAAAACCCAAAACCATATAAAATACGAGCTTGTCTGATGGTTTGTTGGACACTGCGGAAATACGTCTTATATAAGAAGAATGAGTTTCCCCAAAGATCAAGGAAAGCAAACTTAGATTATGAGTAACCTTAACCATTTGCTTTGGGTTATGCTGAACTATCTGATGACTACTGAATAGTAGAGAGATGCAGTCACCTATAGCTAAATATGATATTTCACAGAATATAAACTGTTTATTAAACTTCACAACATTTCATACCTATAAATAACATTGTCTTAACAAAATTCCCTTCTCTTGCCCATTGATAAAAGTTGCAATAGACATCAAATGAGTACGTCTTTTCTTTGATTACACCCAGATGGCTGGGCAGAGATTTTCCTTTTGCTCTCTACCTCATCACCTGAGCTCAATGCCTGGCAAGATTGCTTCATACAACAACTGCAGTTTTACAAGCTGGGTCTTGGCTAACCTAACTGCACCCAGCCTGGGTTCCTGACACTGTTATAACTGGAGTTCCTGTGAGTGATTCCTGTTGTTTCTTGCCAGTTTACAGGGCAGTAGATTTAAGAATGCCAGCAGGAGTGTCTCTAATTCTGGGCTTCAGAGGTTTGAAATTTGAGGCATTCTGTAAAAGTACATGGTGGGCCAAATTAAGGTGTTAACACGAGGTGCTATATTATATATATACTTTAACATGTGTGATTAATTTTAAAAAAACTTTATAAAGTAGTTGAGATTGATAGACTTTAAAGCAAGGTGAATTCTGAGTCAATAGAACATGGTACTTATGTGCACCGAGCCAGGTAGAATACGTTGCAAATTTGGAGTCCCTTCTCTAAATGTTTTTCTAGATGGTTCTGGAAAACCCTCCATTTGTCTCTGCAATTGTAGTTCCAGATTTTGCAAGAGTCCTCCCTTTAATATGGCCTCCCTTCGATACTTATCTTGAGTATAATTTGACAAGAAGGCTTTTATTGCTGGAAACCTTTCCTTCACCCTGGTTAGTGGAGTTTATCTTAAAGGCTGGACAGGGAATCTTAATACCTTGTTGAGAAAAAAAACACACATCAATTGTTGGCAGAACCTGTAGATGAGGTAACTAGTAGATGTGGTAGCTACTCATTAATAGCTTGCTTTGGGTTTTTCTTTTTTTTTTTTTTTTAATTTGAATGGTGAATGTTTCAAAAGTAATATTTAAAAACAAGGAAGAAGGTTTCTGAATCTTTTAGGAGTTTCAGGAGATTTAGGAGTCCAACTGAAAATGAGTTTTATGATCTTTAAGACTTTAAGTATATTTGAGAAGCATGTCATGGAATATTTTTGCACAAAAAGGTTTATTTCTGACCCAAGATCACGGATGTTAGAGTTATTTCGATTTCAAACCTAGCATAAAGATGCTTGTTTACATCCAGAATAGTGAACTAATGCTAGAAATGTGCCTGTTGTTTGTCTGAGAGGACCCTGTTAACAAGTCTGTGTGAATTTTGTATCCTTACCAGAAAAGGATACAAAGAAGGGAGACATACCCTTTTATAAATGTGATTAAAACTGTTCAGTAAATTGGTGAAAAACGCAGACATGCTTTGTATGAGAGGATATATGTTCTACTTAGTGACATGTCATAGTTTGGCTGTCTTAATTATTAAAAAAACCCAAGCAAACCAAAACATTGTGGCTTGCATTGATATACTTTCTTTTAGGTTCAGGAATTAAAATAGTTCATATATATGTCAACTAGCATTAGACTGTACTTTGTTCTTTCAGTGGATGAAAATTGCAATAGTGGAGTATCAAACTAAGACAGTAGATCAATATTGAAATACATAAAGAGGACACGTGAGGATCTGATCGTAGCTCATTTATTTAGGTTTGAAAGTAGAGACTTCATGAAATATTTTTGTGATTATTCGAAGGCAGTTTCATTGCAGACTAACATATTTATTTCCACTAAAATTATTTTAAAGTATGTTATACTTAATTAGAACTAAATAAATTATTATACTATAAAAAAAATATGTAATATCCACCCTAAATAAGTTATTTTTTATCAGAATGACAAGGACTGTTTGTTGCTAATGGGATCAAAGAGAGGTGTAGTTTTCAGGCAACTATTTGATTTATGATTTTACAGGTGTTTTAGTAATATCTACTTACATTCTTTATCTATACTGTATTCTTAGAAGTAAATGCTATAAAGTTATAGCAATTGTTTCTTCACATTTTGTAAAAAGTTTAATCCCTGTTTAAATTTTGCTGAGGAAGGCAGAGATGTAATTGCTTGTTGTGAATGGGCAAGGATTCCCCTCATAGAATCATAGAACAGTTTCGGTTGGAAGAGACCTTCAAGATCAAGTCCAACCTTTGTCCTAGCTCTACCAACACCACTAAACCATGTCCCTAAGTACAACACCTACCTGTCTCTTAAACACCTCCAGGGATGGAGACTCCACCACCTCCATGGGCAGGCTGTTCCAACCTTTTCAGTAAAGAAATTCTTCCGAATATCCAGCCTGAACCTCCCCTGGTGCAACTTAAGGCCATTTCCCCTTGTTTTATCACTTGTTACTAGGGAGAACAGACCGACTCCTGCCTTGCTGCAACTTCCTTTCAGGCAGTTGTAGAGAGCGATAAGGTCTCCCCTCAGCCTTCTCTTCTCCAGTTCAGCCACTCCTCATATGAGACATGCTTCCTTCTTTAACTAGTTACTTGTGAGCATATAAAAAATTTTACCTATTTATAGGGTCTTCAGAAAGGTTTCTTTAGAATTATCTTTTAAAGTACCAATAATCAAATTCTTTGAGAAACGTACTATCTGTTACACATTTTCCTGTGTTTTTATAGAGGTATTAAAATTGCAGACATAGTTGTGTTTCTGTAGCAATTGTTAATGAACAATTGGAGGAGTTGCCTTTGCACATCCCCAACTCGTTAAAATTCAAGGAATTTTTGGGTTCATTTCACAGAGAAGTAGATAGCCCCTTATGTTTGTCTAAAATTAATGATACACTTAAATAGCAGTATGAATTTCATTTACAAATCAGTTTCTGGATGCAATTTAGTCCCATTTTATGGATGTGCTTCATCAAGCAGCTGTACATTTTGACAGAAGTGGCATATTTCTTTTTGTATTGGAGGATTTAAGTTCTTACTGTTCCTCATGGTCTAGTACTTGGTGACTTTATTAAGTGTGCATAGTATTTTATGTGCAAGCAACACCCTATTGCAATAAACGAGAAACCAGAAAATAACACATACTATTCTTTGCTTCCTCCAGAAACCCCCAGAAGCTGCAACTGGAGACTTACCAGCCCTTTCTGATCTTGTTCCTATAATCAATGATCAGTCACAGTACATTAACCATTTAGAAGCAGAACTGAAGTTTCGCAAGGTATTGGACAACATATTTCACCTGCTAAAACCCTGATCTCCTAAACATGAAGAATTGCTTTTAAAACAGCTTACACTTAGTCTTGAGATTGATTGTTGTAGTGACCACAACTGAGCCAAACGCAGTTTGGTGGATAGTGAGCCTTACTATGTGTCTTGGTGTGCCTGTGTAGTGTTTAAGGATCTTTAAATTCGGACATTTTTACATCCTATCACAAATACAAATAAGCAAATTTTTAAGAAGTTACGTGGAAATTTAAGCTATAAAAATATGGAATCTATCTTTTGGGTATTCTTATTCTTTCTAAAAGGGTTAAAATAGTTGAGAATGTTAATCTAGACTTTGGTCTTAAGATTTAGAAATGTGTTACTAGTCATCTCCAGGAACCTTTTACATGCAGTTTCTGTATCCTGTAGGAGGAGTTGTCTGGCATGAAAGATCGAGTACAAGTAGTCATACTTGAAAATGAGGAACTCCATCAGAAACTAAAATTCTTAACTGCAGAACATATGTTGAGAGAACAAAGTCTTCTAGATGCCTCGGTAAGTATTTATGTTTCTGTTGTTGTTTTAATCAGTGTTCAGGGACCTGATTCTTTTTAAGGAAGGCTATATAAATGGTTGTCTGAAACTGAATTTTTGTCAAAATTTAATGAGAGTTTTTAAACATGGATTTCTGTGGGTAACGTCATTATTGTAGATTGCCAACCTAATTAACTTGTTTATTGATTCTTATATTCTACTGTAATGAAAATTATGAGTCAATGCTTTACATAATTAACATTTGTTTAAAAAAACAGCATACATAATTATAACTGAAGCATTACTGTTTTTATTTTAGGCAAATACTCAGAACTCCTGGCCTGTAGGCAGTAATGACTGTAGCATGCATCAGCCTGTCACCTCATCAGCAGCTGATAGCAAAGCTCAGGCTTTTGTTCCAGCTGCTGTTGGAGAAATAGAAAAATGGCATGCAGAACTGGTTGGTGTTAACTTTCTTTGCAGAGTCACACCTTTGCAAAGTATTTTGGTGCTTTGTGGTTGCTGTGGTTCAGGTGATTAACTTTGTAATAGGCGTACAGGAGGAGTTTTGGTTGACTGAAGCTTAATCTGAGGTCCAGTTTTATTCTCTTAAACAGGATCTTGTCATTATGCCCTAGTTAATATTATTGTCCAGTTAAACACAGATGGCAGGTTGTATCTGCAGATGTTGACTTCCCAGAAAAAAGACTTGTTTAAGAATGTCCTGTCAGTGATGGCTTCACTGTGCTTTGGAGGTACTTAGCAGTAACACAACACACAAGCAGGTGAGAACTAGCTGGTGTAATTTAGGTAGCCCTCCAGACAAGCTCTTTTGCAATGAGGATTTCTGCTCCTGTAGCAGCACAGGCTCAGTAAAGTACAAAAGTAGCTTTGCACAGTCTGTTTTGCCTCGGCTGGATTATACATTTTGTGCTTTTAGAGATACAGAGGAGCCCACGTGATTCAGAGATGATGTTGTCTCTATCCTTATTTTTAGTTAGGGAATATATTCTTAATTATTTTTTTTTTCCTCTAAATTAATGGGGTAGCATTGCTGTCTTTTGGGAAGAAACATGGTAACTGAAAGTTTTGATGTTTTTTTCCATGTGCATATGTGTACTGTGGAATTCAAAGCGTACTTTAATTCTTCAAGATAATTACATGTGTGTATTAATTTCTCTCAGTAAAGTATATTTTTGTTGGTTTTGTGCATCATCTAGAGCTGAAAACATCTTCAGTGATCTTTAATGCCTGCAGTTGTTTGACAGCTAATTTTTACAGTAATTGCACTTCATCTGCCATAATTATTTAAAGCAAGAAAATCATATTTATTGTGATTTCTTTCTAAGCATCATAGTGAGCTAAATTTTGGATGCTTTATCTGGTTCATTATCACTGTTGTATTTAACATTGGTGTGGTTGATTTATATACCTAGTTCTTCACCAGGTAATAAGAGTAACTCAATGTGCTATAAATAAATAGCATGTCTGCTTGAAGTTTTTCAGACTCTCCCAAAAGTCAGCAGAAATAAGAGGAATTAAGAGCAAACTTGAGACAAGATCATCAATTTGTGTAAATCATTGTAGAGGGCTGCAGTTGGAGCTGAAGCAATTTACTACATGGGGATCTGGCAAGATGTATAGAAATAAGAAAATAGGAGGGTTGTTCATTTTGTAGACTTTCTCAAGTGTGAAATATTTAGATTTCTCTGACACTAGTGTTCCAACAAGTTTGTATCTTCAGGGGAAAACAATAAATGTGGCTAATGTCTAGCTTTTTGAAGACAATATTATGAAGAAAGCAAAAGACACTTTCTCCCATCTTTTTTAAAGGAGAAACTAAAACTTCTTTATCAAGAAAAAGTCAATACCCTTGATGCTCAAATACAGTCTCTAAGGTAAAGAGAAAAGTTAAATTTTTTTCTTAAAATTATTGTTAATAAATTATCGCTTCGTAACAACATGAACCACTCTTAATTTGAATTTAAGTAACAGAATACCTGAATGTCTGAATGTCATGTTTTCTGGTAGTGTCCCTGAAAGCTGGTTTTTACATGAAGTTTTCTCAAATATAAATGCAGCAAAATTGAATTTATTTCTGCTACATAGCAACATTAGGAATGTATAAATTTTATAAATTCAATTGAATTATAGTATTTATAGAAATTACAGCTTGATATAAAATGTCTTCATCCTTTTTACCCTCTTTCTTTATAGAAACGTTGTGTCTGTAAAGGTAGAGCAATCAAAGAGAAAAAGAGAAGTTAAAATTTTAACTTTTATGAGCTCTTCCATAATTAGCTTTCTTCTATGTATATTTTATATCACAAGTTTTAGAACTCTTAAGCATCGAGCTGGTTTAGGCCACATAACAATTTTGAAGCAGGAAAAAATAGTTTTGAAGCATGCAGGCAGTGTTTCCAGTCGTGTAACCTGCATATCTTTAAACACAAAAATATTTGAAAAGAAGTCCTCATGTGCTTCTCGAAACATTAAAGGTTTGAATAGGTAAGAAAATTATGGAAAAACAGAGGTAGAGGCACCCACTTTAGGATTTGGTTTTCAGGAGTAAACTTCCCCCTGTACACCTGCATTCATGATACTGCTGCTGAATCTGTTTAATTATATTTTTCCTTAAAAAAATTGTGGTTTCGTACACCTGAAATTTCTGGGCTTTTGCGTGTGTGTAAAAAGAGTTACTGGTAGGGAGACAAGTTTAAATATACCCTCTGCAGAGGTGGAATCTTAAATGTGCAAAGCCAATTGTGCTAGTGAGAATAAAGGAGGATCTTAAATTTCAGCTACGTAATCCAATTTATTTTTTCCCCACTTGGCTTGGAGTGTTATATATACACAGAAATAAATATTGGAGGCTAAAATAGTCTGAAAATTTCCACAAGCACATTATTCGGCCTTTTGATTTCTCCAAAGCAGCATGATCTTTCAAACTGTAAGTTCTGCAAAGCCCTTGATCATTTGCGAAATTTTAAAGTGAGAAATTATACCACTTTCAATGGGACTACCCTTGTTTTTAACTTTAAGCATGAATTTATGTAGGACTCGCTGATTTCTGTCCAAGATTTCCCAACAATAGGTGTGTTGTACCGTGACTGTCTAAGGATATATGCAGAGCAAATTCTGTTTAGGTTATGGTGGTTTATATTTAATAGACCAACTACTAAAATTGGAAAAAGTGCACAGAAGATTTCCCAGATGGAAATAAGCATGCATGCAGTGTATATATCATGTGCACAGTAAATCCAATGCAACCAGAATGTGTCAGACTTACTATGTGTATGCTGCCCAGATGGCCTGCATAACAAACCAAAAGCTTTGGATTTGTTGCACAGTTTGTCAAATTGATCTATATGTGCACAGTATGCATTTGTCTGGAACTTCCTGATGTCAGCATTCCTATCGCTTGCGCTCTCCCTGGCCTGACAGATGCTTGGAAATTCTGGAGAAAATTCTTCAGAGCACCTGGTAAAAATTTCAGAGACAAGTGAAAAACTTACCCTGTTTTTCTGGAGATGTGGTTGACCTCAGGTTTGTATGTATTGCTGGATCAGAGTGAATGTGCTGAATACATCTGGATTTTGTCTAGGGAGCATAGGGGACTTTTACTTTATATTGTAACTTTACAGTTAATTTGAGAGTAGAGAAGAAATGTGAAGTTAGTGATATTATTAGTAAGAACAACAGGAAAAAAATGTTATATAGGGTATTGAAATGCTTATACAGCTGATAGTGTTTCTTGCTAATTAATCTTTTATTCTGTTCAGACAACATGTAAGCCTACAAGTTTTATCTAATAATTTTCTGTGTGACTTCACTATTTTCTCATAATACAGAGGGAAGGAACAAATTGATATAATTTTGTTTTGCCTATTAATAATTTTGATTGGTCGGTTCAACTATTATTTTTCCCTTAAAGTCTTCTTTAGCCTACAGAAATGTGTAAAATGTTAATTATGGAAATTCTTAGTTCTTTTCAGTTACATATGTAATTTTATATTGCATATAAATATAACTTGGATGAATGTTTGATTGCATAAGTAATATTTTTTACTTCTTCTTTCTAGAAAAGATCTTTCAGAATCTCAGAAGACATGCAAAGATTTGGAAGGAAGGCTACAACAGCAGAAGTCACTTGTTTCAGCAACAAATTCTAGCCGGGTTGGTGGTCTGTGTCTGAAATGTGCACAACATGAGGCAGTTCTTGCACAGACTCATTCTAATGTTCTCATGCAGTCCATCGAGAGGCTAACAAAGTAGGTTTGGGAGGTATTTACTTTCTTGTTGAAAGTACAGTTGCTTACATTAAATCCTGTAAGTCTCAATGGGTTGGGTTGCATTAATTGAGAGATGTGCACTTACAGAACAATGGACTCCCAAGTTGAAGTTATAATGCTAAAATCAGTGGCGGAATATGAGCGTAGATCCCACCTACTTTGAAATCCATGGTAGGTTTTGCTGCTTATTTCAACAGGGAAAGAATGTTAGTCATTGTCTTTTAATTATGCTACCTTGGGCTGTTCAGATAATCAGGTTATTGGTAGTCTGTTTCCCACACTTTTTGTACAAGCAAACCCTTCACTCTGTCAGAGAAGTATTGTGGAAGTCTGTATTTCGATTATTTCCTGCAAAAGTTCCTTATCTTTCTGTAGTTGAAAGTTTTCCTGGCTCCGTGTTATTCTCCTTACATTTGGGGAACTTCTAGGAAACATCAGCGGTGTAGTTTGTCGTTCCCACCCCCCCCACCCCCACCCCTTGAATTTACTTATTAGTTCAGGTGTTTGGGATAGGATGCATTGCTCCCCCCTAACTACAAGAAGTCAGGGAAAAAAGTTCCTTTGGATAAAAATAAATGAAAGTATTTGCTGCAGCTTTTTTTTAATTGTAGCTTTTAAAGAATTCAAAAAAACAGCTATACAGGCTGAATATTATATATATAGTTCAGAATATTTATAATATTAATCCCAACAGCATTAAAATGTGGGTTTTTTCTTAAGAAATTCTGCTAGTCAATCATTTTCAAAAATCTCTCCCTTTCTACTTGCTAGTAATAATAATAGGATACTGCAACTTTCTCAAACTGTTGTTAAACAGACATCTATTATCAGATATCTGAAGCTGCTTAGGATTTCTAAGGTTTTAGAATGAACCTGCTGGAGATGAGGTAGTGGGTCAATTAGAAGTGAGAAAACTGAAGGGAGATAGTACGTATAGTCTGTCAAATGGATATTACCTCTATGCATTAGATGGCTGTTGCCAGGATTTATGTATCTTTCTATTGTCAAGTCCAAGAATTTTCGGGGAAAGCTCTCTATTGCTGAAGAGTCATGTTTCAAAATCTACTTTTATAAGGAAAGTAAGTATTTGTCACAGACACTGGAAAATATGAACAAACTATAAATCAGTACCTTCTTGTCATCTTGTATTATAGTTCAGTTTGAAACGAAAGGTTTGAGCTGACCTATTTATCTTTCTTAAACCGTTATTTCAGTTTGAGATTTAACAAAATCTGAAAGCTACATCTTCCTGTGATGCAACATATTAAAACCAAAAGTATTTCAGTAGGGATTTTCAAAGGGACTTTGTCCAAATCTTGTTGAAGTGAAATTTCAAAATACGACTGTTAGTTCTCTGGGAAATACAACTGTGTTACCATTCCACACAACATGAAAGAAAAATAACCGAAACACAACTGTTTTCAGCCAGAATGTAGTTGCACCTAAAACACAATTATACTCTTAATTTAAAAGCTTTCAGCATATCAAAATAATGAAAAGGTGCAGTTAAGTATTACAGTTTTACCAACTGTGCTTCACTGTTTGGTATAGATCTCAGTTTCTTAGTTAACAAAAGTTCAGAGGGGATGTAGAATCCAGAAGTTTTATTGTTTAATTTAGTTCCAGTTTGCAGCAAAGGGCTATTGATTTTCATTTGATATACTTAGTGACCTGAACTACTTATTGAACCTTAACCCTTCATTTTATTTTTTTCTCCCTATTTTACATTTAATGATAGCGTCATTTCATATTGCTTTTATCTATTTTTTTTGGCAACAGGCCTTTTTTGTTGTTATTTTTTTTTAGCATGGATCCCTATATTGTAATGCCAACAGAATGATGATCAGCTTCGATATATTTATGACTTAAGCTCTGCTGTAATTTCTGGCAGTTTCACTAATGGTCCATTCTTCTGAAGTGAAAGACTGATCATCAAGCAAATGATATGTTTGATATCTGCCAAGCTGGCATTGTGCTGTCTTTCACTCTTTATCCATGCTGGTTTTTGTCTTGCTTCACTTACTGCCCTTACGTCTTTCATCTGTGAACATTTTATGTTTGATATACCTGGGTTTTTTTTCTCTTGAGAAAAGATATAGCAGAAATTCCTGTTTTTTCTTTATATGCAGAGAAAGAGATGACTTGATAAATGCCCTTGTTTCACTGAGACGAAACGTGAAAGAGATGCAGCAAAGAGAATCTAATGCTTGTGAGCAAGTCAAACAAGCTGTGCAAATGGCAGAAGAGGCCAATTTAGAAAAAACAAAGGTAAAATCATCAAGAATTGATAGCTTTTCAATATTCAGATCTACTGCAAATGTTAATTAGTTTTCATGCTAATGAGAGAATATACACACCTAAGACCTTTATCAAATGTTGATAGGTTGTAGTAGATTTAAAAAGGTTGCACTGTGTATTTCTGAGCACTAACATGAACTCTATATGTGAGTTCTTAAATTCTCATCAAGGCTGTAGGGTGTGTTGCATTCTTAGGCCATCGTTTAAATTCTGACGTAGTTCCACAGATAGGTAATGGCAATTGAATGCTAGAATTTTCAAAGGCATTCATGACATGTAGAAGGATAATTCTCATATCGCGTTATTTAACTACTCTGGAAAGAATACTTAAAATGCCTATTCTTTTGCCTTAGATGAGTGCAGTGCAAGAACTGATTAGCTAACAGAACTCTTTGAAGATAAGTCCTGTCTGATGCTACCTACAGGGAGCTTTTGGTGCTATATAAATAGTAATGATAAAACCAGTTTTGATCTAATGCTTGTGTTAGCCCTATTTACTATATACGATCAACGATAATGACTTCGATTATTTCTTTGATATTTAGTGACATCTACTGTATTATTAGTGAATTACTATGGAATTGAGAGAGTTTTTGTTTCTTTTTCAAATCAAATGCTGCTGGTTTTAATAGTGGACAAGATCGATATAATTGTTCTATTAATCAAATTGGTATTATTCGTCTAGTGCTGTAAGAGAATGTGTTTGTGTGTAGGGTCTTTAACTATATACAGTAGGGAAAAAAATAATCAGAGTTGGATATCCTAGGTACTTGTTAGATTTAACTTCAGAGTACTACAGCTCCTTGTTTTTTACTGAACAAAGAGAAAGAATCCTTCTGAGCCCGCTGTTCACCTGTCATATCCTGTCCCTGAGAGGGTGGGTTCTACAATGTCATTCACTTACTGCTATTTGAAACTACACAAAATATTTTCCTCCTCTACATAATAAAGTGAAGTTATGTGTTCTTACTCTTTCTTCATTTGGTGTTGGAAATCTTTAATACTTAAAAAGAAAATCCTTATAAATTTTTATTCAGTGTAGCTCGTGTTAGAAATGTGGCCTAAGAATAAAACTTGGTAAGATTAGTTAGTAGAACCATTAATAAAATGGGTCTTTGTACTTATACTGTTTCTGCTACATAAAGAAAGCAGATCTGTAGGGTCTTTACTGGTCACTCTCTTCACTGCGGTGAGGAAATGTGAAATGCTGTCTGTTTGTATACAAGACTGAACAGTAATCTGTGTTTTCCATGCTCAAAAACTGTTGTAATATGAAGGAACAGAGGAAATCTTTTACTTGTGCTGCATTAATTTAGCATTTTTTACATGTACTCGTTATTTCTCTTGGTAAGTACAAACCATCCTTTATTTTCCCAGTCCTATTCTACTCTTAAGACGAAATGCTGTTTTACTTTGTAGTTATCATAGAATCCAATAGAACAGTCCACATAAAAAAAAAAAGTGAGGAGTTAACACATTGGGCTTCCAAATGCTACAACTGCAATTTCATCACCCTGTTGACAGAAAGTCTAACCTCAGGTCCTTATCGTTTAAAACCATCATTTTTTTTCTTTCGGTTGTCTATGTAGTTTGTGGCTTCTTGCCTATTACATAGAGCAATGATGAGATCTGGTATGGTTAAACTTCCATAGCTGAAGCTAATCCAGGAATGTATTTTCAATATACATGTTATAGAAGAATTGTTTGAACTCCTCATTATGTAATCAAAACAGTGAAGCTAACAAAATACAGGTTTCTTCTTGCAACTTGTTTCTTCTAGAGTTGCATTGTTATACATGTCTACCAAACTATAGCAGTCTTATGCAGACAATTGTTTGCTGATGATACATTCCTATGGAAAAGGCTCAAGGCAACAATAGAGGGATTCCCTCGCCAATATAGACTTGTGTTAGCAAAGAGACTTTGAGGAAGGTCCCGCAGAATTGACATAAACCTAATGGAGACTGTTAGAGCATTCTCTAAAAATTATGGTTTAATTTGCTTCGCTCATGAACAGCTCAACACCAAGGGAATAGCATATAGGGGACTGGCTTTGAGTAAAAGAAAAAACTAATTTGAAAATAAAGGGTAGTAAGCTAAGATTCCTAAAACGAGGTTAATTTAGCTTCCTTGAAATAGGATATACTGAATAACAGTGAAACGATGAAATGAAATCTAGTTTACTTATGGGCTAGCAAGCTGTCTTTAGGGTGCTTTGAATACTTTGATTTACTTTGAATGGAGTTGTGTATTTCCAATTTGAACTGACAGAACACTCAACTCTTATCCCTTTGGCAGGGATACATCAGGATAAATTGATGGATATTTTTTCCCTAGCTTTTTTGGAAGATAGTCTACTGTGCTTCTTGCATATGAAATTACATTTCTTCTGTTTTGATAGAAAACACGTTTATAACCTGTGTTTTAGCACATCAAATTAAGCCAGACATGTATGAGTTTTCGGTAGAATTAATCTTTATTTGACAAACCTGAAACAAAGAAACAAACAAATTGTTTCTTTGTATCATTTCTTAACTTCTTCCAGGGTTCTTTTTAGCCTTCTGCACTCAGTAATACACTTCATGGGGAGAACAAATGGAAGTGCATGCATTATTTGTTTGGGTTTTTTCCCTTCAGCTACACGGTCAGGAAGTAACAACAGTGTTTGCACTGAGTCAGATATTGGAGGCCGATTCTCGTGACGTATGTTCAGGAATTTTAAATGCAAGGCAAATATTAATCTTAGTTTTAGAACGACAGCAACTTCTTTTGAAAATATGCTTTGAAAAATGCTTCCGTCTTTGCCATGACTCCTAAAAACAACTAGGTTTCTAAATTACAGTAGGGCATGTGTATACATACAAACATACACCATACACGTCTTTTCAATTTGTTAGTCCTATTCTAGGTGTTAGCACAGTAGAGTATGTATAAACATCATAAGTATGTAAAAGACCGAAAGGTGTGCTTTCTAATAGCAAATTGTTTTCTCTGAAGGCGTTAGATAAATACCATGTTTGTTTAAAATTTTAGGTTTCTTTCACTTAAAAATATTTTTTCCAGGCTCTAGTCCAGTGTGAGCAGCTGAAAAGTGAGATGGAACGGCAGAGGTATCGTCTTGAAAGGGAGTTAGCTGCCCAGCTAAATAAGAGGACTGATGAAAAAGAAGTGCTGCGAGAAGAAAAGAAGAAGGAAAGGGAGGACTTGGCAGCAATGGTATGAGTTGTTGGTTTGGTTTTTTTTTTCATTTGTGTATTACAACAAACATATCATCCTCTTTAAACTTTGTTTGCTCGTCTTTCATTTTGTTTCAGTTTTGGATTTGAAAGCTCAGCAAATCACTTCCACCATTGCTTTAAAGCAGTGGTAGGTAAGTGAGCCTTTGAGTCTGAATAACTGGGTTTTATGCTATGTCAGTAGATCCGTACTGTTGTAGATGTTATGCACTTTATTTTATTTTGCATAATATTTTCTAATGCACTTTGTTGAATTAGAAAAGGGTTAAGTAATATGTGATGCAAAGTTTGTACCTGTCTTCTCATAAAGATTATTATTTAAGTTGCCAAGCCAAGCATTCAGAAGTTAGCACATGTCAAATTTAGGATTCTTTGCTACTTTGAGCTTACATATACATATATATTAATGTTAACAATACTGTAATTGCATTCTAAAATGGTATCTTTCAGAGTGATTTTATCATATGCTTAATTTGCCCACCTGCAGAAATGTGTTGGAGTCTCTTTTCTCACTTCTACTGATGTTTATGAACTCTCTGAGACAGAATCTGTCTCATCATTTATACCGTGACCATTGCAACAGAGCCTTGATAGCCTTGGTTTAGGCTTCTAGATGCTAGTGTCATTTAAGTATAAAACATAAGGGGTTTCTCTCCAATGTAATCTACAGAGGAAACCTCATGCTAACAGCAGTAATCTTGTGAGACGTGACAGAGGAAACACTTCTGAGGTGACTGGAGAAATAAATGGGGAGTAGGGAGAGAAATGCTCCATGAATTAGTGGGTTTCATGCTTGTTTGACATGCAACCTCTTTAACCATTTTCTGGTAGAGATTTGGAAACAATACTTCTGATCGTAGGCTTTTTCCATATTTTGGGGCTCTTTTTAGAAATAAGCCATACAGTTTATAAAGTCTGGAGAGCACAGACTGAACAGGATACACTATTTAAGTGTTTAAAGAAGAGGAGGTTCTTTAGTAGCATTGTTGCTTGTGAAATGGCTGGAAAGCTGCTGATAGGAACAGAGAACCAAGGTGCTATGGTTGTATTTCTGGTATTATGAGATGGTGGAATAATGTTCTGAAGCTACTACAGGAAGTCAAAGGCTTTGACTACAGTTCCAGATATTAAATCAAGAATTAAGCACAGTGAAAGGGGCTAACTGATATTTAAGTGAGTGAAGTGTTGTAAGTGATCATCAGTAATCTGTTGCCAGGAAAACTGAAATAAAAACATTAACCTTACACTGGAGGCAGTGAGATACTATTAAGCAATTCTTTCTTGAGTCCTTGCTATGTTTTGGAAGTTATCCTTCTCATTCATTTAGTTGTTTAGTTACAAATTTGCTTTAGAGCTGAGTATGCACTAAAAAATACAGCCTATCAGTCAAGCATTTCATACCTTTTGTTAGTAGAATTACTCACTCCGTGTCATCACATTACTTTATTTCATCACCCACTGAGATGTGTGTTACTGGAACTGATTCCCACTTTGGGTAGTTGTCCTTTTTTAAAATCCCACATGCACGTTAAACAACATATAGTGACTCTGTAATGATGTCATGTTTGGTAATTAAAGATATAAGATGATTTTGTTGAAACCTGTGATCTGTATGCACGATTTACACCTACGTATGATTAACTACTTTTATGTTTCAGGATTATGAGATGATAGAAATGGTATATTGTGCATCAAGTCAACCTCCATATGAATATTTTATCGCTTACTTTATGAAGTGATTTGTTTGAAAGGGAGAACTTGCATGATACATAAATCAGGTGGATGTATAATGAGTGAAAAATAGTTACGAATATATAATCCTCTAGGTTTGGCTTTGAATTCCTGTAAGTTAACCTAGAACTGTCAGACACTATTATTTCCACTTCTATTAGTAAGCCTCAGGGCTAAATAGCTGAAGGATCCCCATCTCTATTTTATTGTTACATTTTTTTTACCATTCCGTAAAATTTGATCTGAATCACTTAAAAATTTCTAACATACTATTTCTACATGGTTTTTGTGCAACATCATGCTTTGATCTGTAGTGCTGAAATGTTTTCTGAACTTGAAAATTAATTTAAGATCTGTGGTTGCAATGACAGTTTTCTTTAGCTGGGGGAACATGATTTGGTTTAAATCAATCTACATAAGGATGGATAAGGTGTTGAATAGTAACTCTTAGAGCTACAACAGTAATGCAACCAGCTGCTTCTGACACTTTGTCCATACTAACAAGTCCTGGAGACTACTCTGATGAAAAGTTTCAAGTGAACTACTGTATGATAAATTAATTCATAATAATGAACCTATTGTTGAAATCATTTAGCCATATTCTGTTATGTTTTTCTGTATATTTTTGTTATATATTTTTATTGTATATATTTTGGTTTTATTGTATTTTTAATGCTATGTATTTTGGCTACATACAGTTACTTTCAAGGAGAAAGTCTCACAAGATTTAGATCTGTGATTGGTCAGATTGTGTCATTACAGTGTTCTTGGGCTTTTTTGCAGGTGATGGCCATGTCTGAGAATGTGGCCATGTTGGAGGCTCAGGTAGAGAGAATTACAAGGGAAAAGAACTCTTTAGTTAAACAGTTAGAAGAATCACAGCATCAGCTTGCATCTCATGAAATGGAGATGAATAAGGTAGGCATATTTATAAATTAATATTGAGCTTGGTTTTCCTTATTGTGACCTGAAAGATGAGAATTTTTTCTTTCTGCATTTTCCTCTGTTTTGGTAAAGAATGGGTGATAAATGTAAACTTCATCTGAATATCCCAGAGGCACAGTTTTACAAGTAAAAAGATAACTTTTCCAGTCTGCCAAGTCACCTTGTGATGTAAAAGCCAACCTTTCTACCTTGCAGACTGTGCAGATCACTATTTAAAATTGAAATTCAAGTTTTCAATAAAAATTACATTCGGTGTGAATGATACAACATAGTATTCAACCCTGTCCTGTAATTGATACCTCTGGGACATGCAGTGCTAAAATAAAGGGAGTTGTATCCAATCACTGTTTTTTTTTCTAAGAACTTTCTTGTAGAATTTGCATGTGGTGTACTGCTTTATTCATTAATATTGACAGTGTGTATTTTACAAAGAGATCTTTATTCAGGTTAAGAATTATAGCTTAACATCTATCTATGAATGTGTATCATTTCTGGGTGCCCTATTTTGCATGTCTCTCAATCTATTAGAGCCTTAATGTGGGTCATAACATGAGAAAGGAAAAAAAATTGCCATCAAAAATTTATGCTGGGAGATGACACATTGTTAAAGTGATTATTTTTATTAGCTTAGTTTCATCATTCAGTTGTTATAAAAATAACTGATTATGTGAAGATGAGGGGATGCTAAATTTCAGCAGAACAGACAATCTGAGAATTCAGATTTATTACAGCCTCTTGAACTGCCTATGTACTTTACCAATAATCCTAGGGCCAGTCCTACCTCCTGTCATTAATTGCGACTTTTTGGGGAGCAATTAGTTCTTTAGGCCTCTAGGGACTCCTAGGGAGGTTTTCAACAGTTCCTGTCTTCCTTTGCTGCCCCTGCTGGTAGAAATAGGTGAAAGTATTGCAGAAAATTTACAGCGAAAAGTCATCCAAACTTATTAGAAAATATAATTCAATTTCAGCTAGAAGACAAATGAGAGAGCATTTTAAGAATGTCAAAATGGTTTGATTTACCATTTCTGAATCACACTTTTGGTTTTTCAGACTGGATTCGCAGATGACTAGCATGACTTACAGGGACGGGGAGTAGGGGAAAGTAGTAGATATAAATATCCATTGGTCTGGAAAGAACAATTTTATAGCCTAGCAATCTGAAGCAATCTCTCAGGAGAGTGACACTGTTGCCCATCCCTGCTTCAGGTAGTGTTAATCAATACAAAATTGAATAGGTGGCCACCTTGCAGTAGCCTATGCTGTGTTTTTATTGCATTGTCCTGAGAGATTAGAAGACTGTATTTGTGTCACAGTTTTGAACTGAGAAGTCTCAAACAGCCCAGAGGAATGTCCTGACCATTGAGCTGTCGAGACTATGTGCATCACTGTGACCTTTTTCATTGGCCATGTAAGTGACATCTATGTCTGCTTGTGAATCTGACTCCTTGTTTCCAAACTCAGTTTGCCATTATTAAAAACAGCAACGAGCAACATTTTTTCCTTTTGAGTTTTATCTGAAGTATTTTTTTCTGCATGCACCAGAGGTCAGGGGAAAAAGGTTTGGAGTGAGAATCTTTTTCCTTCATTCTGAACTACAAGGAGACTGAAAAATCCATTATTAGGACAGCACCATCTGCTGATTCTTCTGTGTTATTCACTTTCTATGATGCATGGGGGAGCTGAAGGCGAGGATGGCTGTGTTCTTTTTAATTTGCTTGGAGGAAGTGACATATCATACTTTGTTACATCCTTCATATAAATGAAGGAGGAGGTAGAAAGGCAGGGCTGGCAATCTATGCAGTTGCATCTTAGGATTTTTTTAGTTGCATATGATATTTCCGTATTTAAAAAAATAATAATGCTTTAGAACCTTGCCAACCAGAGCATTTGCTACCTGTCATTATTTGCAACAGGGCTGAATTCACAAGCTGTCCTTCGAATTTATAAGTGATGCTGCTTCTTAAAGTTCTAACAGTTGATTTTGTTTTTTTCTGAGGTGATTTGATTGCAGTATGCGTGTTTACTTTTACCCAAACTTTTTTTTAAGAAGGAAAAAAAAAAGAAAAGGTAGTGAAAGTGAGAAGAGGTTTGAGACTGAAAAATAGAAAATAATTTGAGTTGTAGAACATGTGTGAGGAGATTGTTGAGAAGCACAGGGGGTTGTACCAGCAAATTAAAAGTGTGCACATTTAGGAAGCAAATCTGTGAAAGAGTATAATGGGGGCCGGGAAGTAGAGTGAGTTGGAAAGAAAGCTCTCTAAGAGTAGCTGCAAGTAAACACATTTCTGTGCTCATTAGGCAATGTGCATGTATTCATGTTTGGTTAATTAAGGTGAAGTGAACAGGCATAGACCAGAGGTGACTGCACAGGATTAGGACAAAAAGGGGACAGCTTGTCCACCATCTTTCTCCATTCCTAACAGATAAGATCAAATAGAATCCTTTCAAAATTTTATATTATGAAATGGGAGAATGACATCCCTTTGCAGCAGTAGTGAAAGTTATGTGGGAGAGGACTGGTATGCATTGGTTTGTTTTTTTTTCTCTGTCTTTCCTCTAACCCCTCCTCCAACCCTCTGAAGCTGAGCTGCCTTCAGGTGGAAGGGGATGAGAAGGCAACATAACGAACATCCCAACAGCAGAGAATAGTTGTTGCCTTTGTGGAAATGATAGTAGATTTCTTTAAATGTTGCTTCGATCCCTTTCTTCTGGCCCATGCATATGTTTGAATTAGGCATTGTTTTTAAAGAATTTATCTTCAGTTTGTATTATATACGATACTTTCAGTAAGTGTATAATTCTCTGATCTAACTTTGATTGTATTAACATCTAAACATTTTCTTCCTTAACAGTGGAAAATTGGCAAGAAAAGAAACTATGCCCTTATATAGGAGTGTGATAGATCCTTTACTTCTAGGTTTTGAAAGTGTTGACATAGACTTTCTTGGGATTTTAGAGAGAATGGGAGAATATAAAACCAGCAACTCTAGTTTAACTGTATTTAGTAGCACATATATTTACAACATAAATATTTATACTTAGCAAAATCTTGATCCAAATATAATTGAATCTAGAAGGCACTGCATATTTCAAAGTTAATGACTATATAGAGAATTCAGATCCACCTTTTTATATAAAAACATTTACCATATGTAGTCTTAAAATATCTGTAAATTAAAATATGTTGCATTAAAATGACCTCTAGAGGGCACCAAAAGATCTAATTGCAAACCCAAGGCTATGGGTTCTTCAGGCTACAGCTCATGTTGTCTGTATAATCTAACAGGTGTGTGGAGAAATGCGCTATCAGTTGAATCAAACCAAAATGAAGAAGGATGAGGCAGAAAAGGAGCTCAGAGAGTACAGAACAAAAACTATAAGGGAGCTTGAAATTAAGGACCAGGTAAGAGATAATACTGCCGTAACTTTGCAGTTATTAGAAGCCTAAGTAGGGTTATTTCGGAAGCTGAAATGATTAGTTTTTCTAATAGTGGTCATTTATTACTGTTAAGTGGTTTCTAAATTAATGGCAACAGGCCAGCTATTACTGTTAAATAAATACCTCTTGGTTATCTTATTCTTGTTTTCAGCCCTAGTATGTTCAGTTTTACATAATACTCATCCCATGCTTTCATATAGAATTACTCTATCAGATGTATTCATACAATGTACTTAAATTGTGTGTTGTATACATATATTTATACACTTTTCCTCACAAATAAATCCACACGTAATTACGTATACATGAAGCCTGACAAAACATTAAAGACTCTTAACTGTAACCTAACGATACCAAAAATGAAAATAATTTCTCTTCCAGTTTCTTTAAAGAGTGAAGGTTAATGAATGCTGGGATTCATAGAAAAGTTTTTAAAAAAACCCAAACCAAAACAAAAATAACCTTCTAAAAAAAAAAAAAAAATTAAAAATTCCACTAGGCATTAATTGTTGATTATAAAACTGTGTTTTATAATAGTACAAAAACAGTACGTGCCTTACAGGTGGTCTGTGAGAAAACATCCCATGCAGTAAGAAAGATTAGGGTAACCTGCGACATACTTGGCAAACAGCTCGAACAGGTGTAATCTGCATCTTTTGAAGTACCCTTTTTGTTGAGGTTCTATCTGGTTTTCTCTAGGTATTCAAACTACTAGTTATTCCTTCGTAAGTTGTGATTTGCACATGAGAGTGGATGTCTTCTGAATACACAGATGTATAAGATGTGCCTGAGGATAATTTTTTGTATGCATTTTGTTCTTAAAGCAGGCTATCCAACACATTTTAAATCATTGTTTTTCTTGTAAATAAGTGAACAAATTGGTCCCTGTGTAAGAATATAAGTAAGAAAAATGCAGTATTTTTAAAATTACTTTTTTATTTACCAATTCCCCAAAATCTTCATGTAGAACAGTAAGTTTATTTACTTAATAAATATGAGCTTAGGCTGGAAGCAATATTAATTCAAATTATAATCAAAAGGTGTGTAAAATCTGAAGGAGAAGCTTATTAGAGAAAATAAGTCTTCAATAGGTATATAAAAAAAAAATCATACAGCACAGAAAAACAGGGGCCTTAAGCATTTTTTTTGTCTTCAGGGTTGGCTTTTTTTTTTCTTTTCTCCTGCATCCTTTAGGCCTAAGGACACTTTGAAAAACAAAAACAGGCTTGTCGTCTGTGTCTTGACAGATATCACAGATAAGAGAGTTGGCATAATCTTGGCATACAAATAAAACAGTATGTGTTTAATAAGATATTTGAAGAAGTATCTTGGATTTTAAATCCTATTCTCCAGCTTGCTTCAGGATTGCCTTCTGAAAAAATTGCAAAATTTAACAAAGTATTTTAACCTCATGTATCGACATAGTGGTATTTTATTCAGTGTGGGAATGAATACACCAAAATGAGGTGATTTGTAATTTGATATAATTGAAGTGGATGGAGAGGGAAGTTCCTATCAGCAAAGATTATTAAAGTAATTCAGTAATTATGTAAAGTAATTATATTGTTCAAATATGATTATTGGTTCCTCAAAAGGAAACAAACTATTTTGAAATTCCCAGGCTCGGTGTCTAGCAGCTGTTTTATAGCTATGGCTCTAGTAACCAAGAAAGTTCTGTAGACGTCCTAATATTATTTAACATATTAAAAGGCAAACAAAAAGAATGTGTGTGCATTTTGGGGTTTTGTTTTTTGTTTTTGTTTTTTTTTCTTTGGTTGGGTTTTTAAATCAAATTTTAACAAATGTTAAAAAGTCATTGCAAATTATTTCAATTAAATGAAATAAAAACAGTTCAAGCACATCTAGCTTTGTATTTGAAGAAAAGGCTAAGATGTTTCATCTTATATGACACTGAATAGCAAACAGTAATTGTTCTTTGGTCTCTCAGCCATGACCTGACCTTCTGGCTAAGAGACAGAGTTGATACCTTCCTTGGCCACCATCTGTTCGTAATAAATACATATTTATTTTTTTAAAGGAGAGGGACAATAATGTATGAGTATTTTCATGATGTTCTATATTAGAAAGAGTATTTTTCTGTTTTAAAAGCAAAGAGTTCTGTTTCAGATTGTCTTTTGATATGTTGAAAGTTAGTTTACTGTTTCTTGAGGTATGATTGTATTTTTAGCTGTGCTATGGATAAATTTTAGTTTTGAAGATGCATTTTAGTTTTTATGTAGTGACTTTTAAAAAGGGATTAAAGTTATTCAGGTGTGTCAGAATAGGCAGAAATCCCCATATGTACAGTTTAGGATCTATCAGAGACATATATATGTCAGTAAAAACAGATATGTATTTATCATACACCAATATTTATAAAGTTCTTCAAAACTGAATTTGTGTTACTTAGGAAGAAAAGAGGTATATATTTTTGGTCTTATTCTCTTTTATTCCAGTATCTTTTCCTATCTTTACTACTCAGGACTGATAACAATGGCACCTTGGTATACCTGTTGTTAAAATTTGACAATATTTCTTAAAATAAAAACAAAGAAGCATTGAGCAATGTTACCATTTAAATTGTATAAGTGTTTTGTAATATTATCCATCATGATCCTAATTAACATTAGGATTATGGAGAGCAGGGGGGAGACATATATACCACACAGTTTCTTTACACAAAAACTGCATCTGTTCATCTGGCCCAGTATGTTGTAAAGTAGCATAACCTACTGCCCTCTCTTTTTCTCTCTCAGCCCTCCCATTGTGGATGTAGCTGTGCTGAAATAACAGTGCCTTTCTTAATACTTTTCTTTCATAGGAACAAGCTTTATAAGTTGTACGAGTATAATGCCTTCATGGTAGTAAACTGTGTCCACACTAGGGGTTGTACTAGCACAGCTATATCAGAGAAAAGTCACGCCCTAACCTAAATAGCTGTTATCAGAACAAAAATTGTGTGGCATATTTGACACAGCAGGACTTCACTTTTATAATACTTTTTCTGTGAATTTGGAAGCACCGCGTTGCATAATTTGTGCATTTCTAATAGAAATCATACTTCTATGGAGTTGTTTCTTCAGATTAGCATCACTTGCTCTTTTCTGCTCTGCATTATAAAAAGAAAAATGAAGTACACTGTTAATCGTTTGCTTGCTGTTTGTCTGTAAATAATTTTTATTTGGCTTAAAAAACCTTGCAAGATTCATCATGTAGAAGTGAAAACAGTTTTGTAGTATTGGTTTATGCAATCCTAGCCAATTTGGGCGTCATCCTTATTAGATAGTTTTTATTGATAGCATTGCACCACTGGGAGTTGTGGTCTCCGTGTAATAAAGCAATAGGACACGTTAAATCCAACTTCAGAAACTAACTGAAGCTTTTAAATTTTATTTTACTGTGTTTTGAGGGATCAGATAAATACTTTGTGTAGAAATAAACCTAGCTGCTAATCTTAACCTGTGAAAAAACACTCTTTTAATACTGTCTTTAAAATTGGACAAATGTAGCTTGAAGTAGGGGATTACAGATTTCTGTTGCCTATCTTGTAGGTGACAGATTTAAAAACTCCAGAAATACTATACCAAAATCTACTGATTTTTAAGAGTTGCCTGTATGGAAGTTCATGAGCCCAAATAAGAAGTTGGAGAATCACTGATGTGCACAACATATACAAATGGAAAGAGCTACACATCAAAGCATTTTTGTTTAGTATGACAGAACCTAAATGATGTCTCTGTACACCATAGACTGACAATTTTGTAGACAAATAAAAATCTGGCAAAATTGCAGTCCAAAAGCATTTTGCCAAAAGGTATTTTGGGAATGTTTATCTCATTTGTCATAAATCCGTGATTTATAGTAACCTAATTTAGGCATTATAAGTGGAGAGATTACTGACTCTGTCTTCATCAGAAATAATGCAGGCCAAGAAATTGGGTATATATCCCAGAAATGCTGCAGCATGTCCAATGCCAGACCAATACAAACTTCTGAAGACACTGGTTCACTGAAATGTCTTTTTATGAATAGGTATCAGGTCTCCATGAGTCAGGCTTTAAAATACTAGCTTTTTCACAAGCTGCAGCGTTCAGGATGTCATGAGATGTTTTGAAACTTGCAAGTTTTAATCACCGTGGTGAAATGGGTTAGCATTATGTGTTATGTGTATTCTCGCAACTGTCCTATACTCAGATTTTGTGACCTCGTTAGGTACAAAGTTGTTCTGGAAGTTCTGTTTTGAAAAGAAATTCTGTTACATCAGTAAACATACTTGAATACTGTTTGTCAAGGGGGAAAACGCCAAAACTTAGCAGAGAGCTTGAAGCTGTTAGCATCAACTTTTCTTACCTGGCCTGACCTTGAGTTTAATGGCCTTGAAAACAGCAAAAGAAATTTGCTTTTGGACAAGAAAGCATTAAAAAAATGTGATAACCTTTGCTGTGACTGAATTTTTTTTTTTTTTTTTTTGGTTTAATTTTCAGTTTGGGGCATCCAATGCACTAATTTGAAAATGGGTAAATAAGAAGGGAGTAAAATGATAGTACTTTATGCCTTGCTTTGATAGGAATTTTCTGACCTGTTCAGGGGGAATATAATTCTTTTTTATAACTGAACTTACTAGCTCTTCTCAAGATTTTATAGGAAAAAACTTTTATCTAAACCCGTGCAATATAATTTTCAGTTTGGGGCATCCAATGCACTAATTTGAAAATGGGTAAATAAGAAGGGAGTAAAATGATAGTACTTTATGCCTTGCTTTGATAGGAATTTTCTGACCTGTTCAGGGGGAATATAATTCTTTTTTATAACTGAACTTACTAGCTCTTCTCAAGATTTTATAGGAAAAAACTTTTATCTAAACCCGTGCAATATATAACAAAATAAATATTTAATTACAATGGCTGCTGCTGCTCTGCTATGGCATTGCTTTCGTCTGTCAGCCATCCATTCCTCAAGGATCA